GTGATATCCAAGAGTGGCACCTGGAACGAGTACTGGACGTGGGATTTCGCAATGGAGCCCGCTCGTTGGGACAAGGTCGCGATCGCGTATTCGTACGTATGCGAAAAGGAGAAATTATGTTTGTGATTATGCGCATTCAGTGCGCGCGTTCAGATGCCATGTGTCGCGATTGCGTGCACTCCACCTGTTGGTTGACAGCCACGACGAGGAAGGTTGCCGCCGGGATTGAAAAGTTTTTGCTTCAGCCCTGCCGGGCTGGGAATGTGCTCAAGTTATGCCATCCCCCCTTACCAGCCATCGAGGTTCTACCTCCGCTTACTGCAGGTAAATGTCGTTGTTGTTATTAGCTAAAGAGTACTTCCTTGATCCTGTTCAAAACATCTTGAAATTTGCCGGGCCAAAGATTCGCTGCCAGTTGTATACACTGTAAAGTTTTGCATAAGAAGCATTCCGCTGCATGATCAACCACACTTTAGCGCGGTTAGTTGAACAGCGACTCCTGACGGAAGCTTTTTCAGGAATTGATTTCTAAACCTCGTTGTAGTGCGCTACTTTTTACTGAGCTGTGTGCGAGTACTGTATTTTGTTGCGGAATAAATAGCTCTAACAATATTTGCAAATGTCTCTACCGCGGAAACGACCAAAATGTAAGAAACATATTTATCATAACAGATAGTATCATAGTAGTGCTAAAATAGCAAACATTCTTCATACGTTGAAAATACGTACACTAACACCAGCGGAATTCAGTAGTTTCCATTATTTCAGAGGAAAATGAAATGGTTCTTCCCGATCTAATACTGGACATTTTGTCAAAAGTCATGTTTTACTTGGATACTGTTTCGCAAAGAAAGTTAAAACGGTATGTCACTATGTCTTGGAACGATAGTCACTACTCTGTATACGAGTATGTGTTGTATCATTGATTACTGTACTAATTTGCTACATCGTAGCGTCCGAACCACCGTAGCTTTGTTCTCTGCTTTTTAGCGCGTAATAATCACACGAGACATTGTAACTAAAACTAGTCTTCGTTCCTGTAGGGTGTGCGTACTGTGGAACGCTTTACTTTCCAACACGGAATCGTCGAATGATATTGTAATTGATTTCCGCGCTCTATGTCCGCAATTACAACAACGCTCCGAGACGGAAGGCTACCGCCTCGGACTACTGCCTCCATCGGGTCGTAAATACCAGGACACAAACGCTAGCATTAGTTAACATAAATGATCGTGCGGAAACCTTTGATACGGTTATTTTACTCGTTGCGGATGTACTCAGTCTGAAAAAAGTAATCCCTTTAATTATCGTCAAAAACTGTTCGGCAACTATAGTGAAGTCCTCGAGCGGAATGTGCAGAAGAAGCATTACTTCCGACTGGCGAAAGATTCAATTTCAGTTACTCCTCCTTAAGAAGGTCTGTTACCATGTACTGGTGCTGAATCTAGTGGCCGACTGCGGTTCATGGAGTGATGTGTTATTCCCACGTCGAAGCCGAAAGAATGACGGATTGAAGCAGCAGGATAGCCTAATCATAACTATACCGAAACTACGGTTGGATCAAAGCGACCGCGACGCCGATAGCATAGTGCAGCTTAAACAAGCTATGGAACGCAATTGCCCACCGGTTGATCAGTCCGTTAGGAAACAGATCAAGGTTCTGCATGCCAGCTGGGTCAAACGCTTTCCCTATCCTGGAAGTGAGTGGGAAGGATTGCGGCGCCTTGTTCAACTGTACGTTTTTCTGGCATCAAGTATCTGCGCAGCTTTACTGTTTGCGCCTATGAACGCTCTGCCGAGTGTCGTATATTTTGTATGAAACCCAGACGCGAGCTGAATTTTTTTATTTTTCGCCGTATTTGTGCCGTTCTTTTACGCTTCGGGTACAAGCAATTTAGGACTTCATTCTGTCTAAATCCTTTTATGAATTAATTTGTTTGTTGTAGCTTGGGAACGTGCGCAGCCGCGGATCATGTTCAATTTGGTGCAGACTGGAATTGGATGGACTGTGAGATATATTTTTAGTGGCTTGAATTTGAGGGATTTCGACAACCTGCCAATTGGAAACATAATATTAGCAATACTTGTTCGCGCTCACCTTAATGGCCAAAAATTTAGGCAGTGTTCTTACAAGCTTGTCGTTTCCGGTGTGCCGCTGTGACCGGCGATTTTCCGCGGCAGAGGTTGACGACATCGAAAACTTCTCTATAGTACCGCGTACTTTGGGAAGATCTTTAGACGTGAATGCTATTTGGGAGTCTATAGCTGGAATCAGGGACAATTTTCAAACGCGTATTTGGCTTTAGTACAGCGCATCAACAGTTTGGTAAACCTAACTGCGACTGTGAGCCGCTACTTGCAGTACTCGAAAACAGTACCAAGTCAAAATAACTTTAAAAGGCAAAGAGGTTTCCTCTGCTTTTGTGGGGGGAAGACCATGTATGGAAAACCGGATGCAGTGGATTTTATTACTGTCACAGGAATCACATGTTTCATAAATCTTAATAATTTTGTGCAGGTTACCGTCCGAAAGTCAAAAAGGACAACAAAATTTCAAAGCAGTTTCTTGTAGCAGCTTGCTTCTAAGACTTTAAAAAGCCGGAAAATCCCAGTGTAGTCCGTCAACCGGTAGTAATAACATCCAGCAGCGTTTGCGACTACTCCTACACGAGTAAATGTAACCGCTCACTAGACGCACAAGATATGCGGGCGCAAGTTGCAAGCTGCTTCCCATGTAACCATTCAAGCGCCGGCATTTTGCAAGATACATGGTGGCCTTCTTGTCTTCACACGAAGTGGCCTTGGCTCGTTAAAATATGCAGTCGATGTACTTGTACCTGATTTTGTATGCGAGCGAGTAACACTTGGAGGTGTTTTACTATCTGCGCGGCTGTAATTTTTCGATCCAAAGCCGGAACCAGACAGCAGTAGACGCTACTAGCGAATAATTTCGGAATATTGGCAGGAATGTAGGGGTGTAGCCATCATGTGCCAATTTGAACAATAATTGATCGGATGAACAACTTCTCCCTCGGATCATTGTTTCCTCCACGTAACTATAAAGGCCATTTTTCTTGATCACCTTACAGAAGCGCCCTTCTTCTTTCTGAAAGGCACAGTTCAGTAGATCCAAAATGACACATCCCAAGCTCCAAATATCGATGCTATATCCGAGGGGTGCGTGATCCTCTTGGCATTTAAACATAGCCATTTCCGGCGACATATAAGTTATCGTGCCGTTCACCATCTCGAAGGATTGAGTTGAGTCAGTATCGCGGTCATCAAATCTGACAGCTCCGTCAAGATCTCCGATCAGTAGAGTGTAATGACCACTGGGGGATTTTTGTGTAAAATGTTCCCAGGTTTGAGATCTCCGTGAATCAGCTTATTCTGGTGGAGAAACGCCAGACCGCTGCTCACCTGTAGTGCGCGATCTAAAGCGGTAGTGACGCGAAACCTCTGTTTCTTTGATCTGCACTGAGCTAAGTGCCATTCCAAATCACGGTCTGCAACGCAACAAAATCTTATCTTTATGTATTCATACAATCTTACCGACCAAAACGTATTTATGCGCCCTTTTTATGGACTCGTCAGCGCGTGGCCAGTTCTAGTCAAGCTTAGCCTTAAAAACTTCCATATTTTCCATAGATTTGTAAATAGATTATAGATTTTTTTTAGTGACCTCTGGTCAGAAAATAATTTCATGAGGTCTTAAGTATAAGAAACGTAGAGCACTGGACTAAAGCCCGATACTTCATACAATCATACTGCCTGTAACCACGGAGTAAGTAAAACCAAAACTTTAATAAAACCAGTACTAAAGTGCCGATCGCGGATGCGCGACGCATACATTATGAAAAAAAATATTATCAAGCTTTATTTATGTTGTCATAAGAATTCCTGTATATTTTACCATCATAGAAATTACCAACTTATCGCATTTATCGGTTGATAATTTGCTTACACAGTTTTGGCTCAATATCGTAATATCCTGTTAAATTAAAGCTGCCACAGTACTTGCATACTCTCACAATTGTATGCATAATTAATTGTATTTTACAGAACCTATAACGTTTTATTAATAGCCGCTGCACTACTCAACTTGAACGCACCTTCACACCAGTCCATCATAAAAATAACCTCAACGCCTTGAAGTACTTTCCGCGTGACGACATGATGATACGTGACCACATTAGGGTGCCTGTCCGTCAATCTTATCAGCAACTGCCACAGCTCTATATCGTTTTTCGAAGGATTCTTTCGAGTGTCAGCATTTTCTCGGTCGGATTTGAATAAAACCTCTTTAACAGCAACTGTACAACTGCCTGCATAATTTTGGTCATCCCTTAGTGTTGCTTTGTACACAGTACCAAACGTGCCTTGACCAATAAAGTCGCCAGGAAATTCGTAATCATACGCACAGCGGGGTCCAAATATTTCAATTAATGGACGGGAATTGCCGGAGGCTTCTTCAGAGTTTGCAACAGAATTCAGCCTACTGCGATTCCAGGTGCTTCCATAAATATAATCCTGCACTTTTACCAGACTATTGTAAACATCTTTTGCCGTAATCCTCTTGTCCAGATCCACTTGTACGCATCTCTGGATAATTTTTAGAAACTCTTTAGGAATAATTTCCGGTATGTACGGCGGATATCCGTCCACAATTCTTTGGGAAAATTGCGAATGGAAAAACATTAATACCGGCATATGTGCCACTAACAGTAACTTGGATAGGATGTGTTGTGGTTGCGTCCGGTTTCGAAATACGTTGGCTTTGGCGCTGGGTGTCAATACAGAATCGAGAAACGGATCAAGCGTGCTGTCTCTTGCAGTGGCAATAAATTCACAGAGTTTATTTTTAAAACCACTGTCGCAGGTTGTGGAACTGAGGCCATTCGGTTTCCGAAAAATAGCACTTAGCTAGTTCATAAATTACGCAGCCCAATCCCCAACTGTCTGTTTTCGCTCCAAATTTCTTTGGCAACAGATGTCGTATGTCCGAAAATTTTAAGAGGTATTCTGGCGACATTGTGTTACGCATTAATGGGAAAACAAGCTGTCTTTCCAGTTCTTCATCCAACAATAGCTCAAAGAACAACCCGGCAATTCGCAGGACATTTCGATTACCCACCGGACGCTCGACGTACACGAAATCGGGGCTCAGTCTGCCGTGCACAATTCCTTTTTCATGCAGATATCCGAGCCCGCTCGCCAATTGTTTAGAGTAATCCAATAGAGTAGCAAGATGAAGTTTCCGGTTGTTGGCTATCAAGGAATCTATTACTGCCTGTAACGTTTCACCTGCAAAATAACAGTAGTATACGAGTAATAACCTTGATGAACTGTTTTTGATTTTATAGCAGTTAATTATGTTAGTGTTACTGTGTTGGATGTCAAAGCAACGGGAGTGTCAAAGTTCCGGATACATGTGCACGCAATTGCTGAGAATTGAAATACAGTTTCAGGCAGTAGTACCTGTGGCCAAGCCTTCGTTGACCAGTAAAAACATCCATGTCTTATCTTTCCCTTTGCAAGAATCGAGCGAAATCTTCTGGATTTCCAAGACATTCTTGTGTTGCAGGTTTAGCAGCTTCGCACCGTACGCTTTTGCTCTTTTCGTGTGAGCACACACATAGTTGTCTTCAAGCGGGAATATCAGATCGTACACTAATGGCTTCTCTTCCCTGAGATTCGAAAGTACTGGCTTGTCACCCCAGTTAAAATTTCCATTTAAATGAATATAAGGGTCATGATCGGGCAAATCGTTCGATGCAGTAAGGTTGGACCTAAGCCGCAAACACACCTGTGGCTGATACGCTCCCTTTTCGTTATCCAGCGTCTGATCGAAACAAGCGGTGCCGGTATTCCAATTAGATAAGAATGATTCCAGTGACTGGTTGTTCCCTTCCAGTGTAACATTACTGGCTGATGGATCATGCAACCTGGATACGGTAATCATCTTTTGATAGCCAATTTCCAGCGCGATAACTGGATTCTTTACGACCATAATAATTTCACGCGCCTTTAGGTATTCCTCGCCTTTTGCAAGTCGCTCCATACAGTAAGTGGCTATCTTCATGCGCAACGGTCTGTTAATGCCTGACAGTTCTCGTAATACTGCCGAAAAATTGTGTCCTAAAACCGCACAAATATGCAAGGTCGGGGAAACTAATAAGCCAAAACAAACTGAACAACAGTACAGGACATAGAAGATGTGTTCATTATCAAAATGCCAAGGCTGTTTATCGGGGATGCGTTGTTATGCTGACGACCGCGATAGATTTCTGCCCATGTACGATCAAGTCCATTCTCATTGATAATTTCAAAAGTTGATAACGTGTTGACTGAGCATCTGCTTCATCAATAATGCTAAAACTGAAGATGAATGAAAATAACTCGTTTTGCGATAAGCATGTGCTATTTTGTGCCGTCTCGTTAGATTATGCAACTAGAGTGGACAGATCGTTCATACATTCCGATTTGTTTCCGCTTGACCTCCGTGTTGATTAATTAGGCCTCAGTTAAAAAACTCACGAGTAAACCTAAACATTGGCTATGCATTCAACAAACATGCACCATCGTGAATCAGGACCACAACACTATCAGATGGCGCTGACTAGGCGCGCATCGACCATCGACGGCGAAACAAAAGCAAACCCGGATGAAGGCTTTAATGCCGAAATCTGACACACACCGCGCTTTGCGCGCAAGCCAAGAACCAACTGGTCTCTGTAGGCAGCGCAGCTGCCTTATAGAGCCATCAAAGCGCATGCAAATGCCCAGACAGGAAAAAACCCAAAACCAACCAATGAGAGAAGGGCTGAATCATAAGCCCGCCCTGATATCCCTGTACGGTCTAACACTGAGCTCCTGCGAAGTGCAGGTAAATGGCGTGATGCGCCGTAAAAGAACAGTGGATACAGGGACCGGTACGGTCCCTGTACTATGTCTAATAGACTGTACTACCGGGTGGCTCGGTTCCAGTTCGGTCGGCTCACGTGGTCCGGTATGGGATCTGGTTCAGTCAGGTTTGGTCCGGCTCGGTCCAGGTTTGGTCGGCTCGGATCAGGTTCGGTTTAGGAGTGGTTCTCGGTCGGTTTGGCTCGGGTTCGGTCGGTCTGGTTCGGCTTCACGCGGTCCAGTGCCTAGGTCAACGCACTGTCGCGACAGAATCCAGGGTCGGATGCGGAAATCGGTAGATTCCGCATTTTATCCGTCTGGAGAAAGGTCACCGTCTGGGGAAAATCGCGCAGGGGTTTGGGGCACAGGTACGGCCATGACCCTGCAAACACAAAATTACGCTGCTCCGGTGGGGCAATTCCACTGCTCCGCCGGGGGAAAGGTCGCTGTCCCAGGTAAGGCGGGCAGGGTTTTGGTGGGGTGAATTTCTCGGCGTGGTAATGGTGGTCGATCCGGCCGTGGGGATCGGGGTTGGCGTGGCTGTTGGTGGTGGTGAAGGGTCCGCAGGTTTCCTGCTGGTCCGGGTTGCGTCCACCGTCGGCATCCGTCATCGGTACGGTGTGGCTGTGGGTTTGTCCGTCCATCGCTGCACTTCTGGCTTGGCGATATCTCCATCCCCTTCTGGGAGAGGCAGTTTCCTCCGCGTTCTGCGGGAGTGACGGCACAGCTCCGGCGACTGACGGGAAATCCGGAGGAGCGGGTGAGCTCCGTACCCGGGGGTGGCACAGGGCGCGATCACGCGATCTGGTCCACAACTCAGAGGTGGCCCGTGAGCGGGGCAAGCCCGCTGTGCAACACACGAACGTCTCCGTGATCTGCTACCATATCAGATGGCGCTGACTAGGCGCGCATCGACCATCGACGGCGAAACAAAAGCAAACCCGGATGAAGGCTTTAATGCCGAAATCTGACACACACCGCGCTTTGCGCGCAAGCCAAGAACCAACTGGTCTCTGTAGGCAGCGCAGCTGCCTTATAGAGCCATCAAAGCGCATGCAAATGCCCAGACAGGAAAAAACCCAAAACCAACCAATGAGAGAAGGGCTGAATCATAAGCCCGCCCTGATAACACCATTATTTTTGAATATTCTTACACACAAGCCGGCCATATATAAGACAGGTTTACAGCATATGAAAAATCCAGGCCACAGTGGCTTCTGCTGTCCATGTTCTTGAAAGGTATATTGGTCCACTTATTCTGATCGCGGTCATAGAATTCCATTGTCTGTAAAATGCTGCTGGTACCATTGAAGAGAATTCGTCCACCGAATACATGGATGCGGTTGTTCAGCACAAAAGCACAGTGACCCGTTCGCGGCTGTGGAAGATCGTGGATTTCTTGCCAACCGCCATCGGGTGATTGAATATCTAAGCGCAAACAGGATTTTGACACATGATAGTCAGCACATATCGAAACTGTTAAACCTCCAATTATATATAAAGTTCCTTGTAGCACAGCTAGAGCAAAGTCTCGTCGCTCTCCAGGCATATCCGGTAGGTTGTGCCACGTGTACGTGTCAGTGTCAAAGTAGCCAATCCACATGGACTTTGTTGATTGAAACGACCGTCCAAAAATGTAAATAAGTTTGTTTCCGAATCGTACACCGCGCTCGAAAAAGGGTCTAAAAATCAGGCCTACATTTATGGAGTTACATAAATTTTTTTAAGTATCTTACCTCGACATGTGGCCCGGTTCACCATTACCGGCAATTTGAAACGGAATCTGCAGAATTTCTCCACTAGGAATAATAGCGGCTTTAAACTGCGGTTGCAAGCCGGTCAAATCCCAAAAGTAGACCTTGTCGCGCACGGTTATGGGACAGGTCATCCGAGCTGAGCCATCCGACAGCGAGACAGCATAACACATTTCTGCCGCAAGGTCCCACGCTAAGGTTTTGTACTCTCGGGCTCCAGGTTCATCCATTACCTGACATATCACCATATTATTGGATTCACCAAATCCACTCCAGAAAACCTTGGTCTGCAGTTCCGTTGGTAGTGGGAACGGATGTAAGATATTTGCCGAAGGAATCAGCACTTGAACCGCAAGGTTTGTGAAGCGGTTTTCACAGTGGATTAATACGATAACCTCCTTTGGTGCCTCTTTCTCGGCTTCGACTAAACTCTGCAACGCTTGATCGGCATCCTGTCGATCAGCCGGATTTTCATGTAAGCAGTTTCGAATGCATTTTGCCAAATTTGCTGGGACATATTCAGACACCAACGGAACGTAACCATCAACCAATAAAGATGCAAAATAAGCGTCAGTAATTTTGCAGCCTGCTTGAATGGTCTTAAGTCCTCGGCAGAGCTGTTTTTCGTGCCTCCCAATAACGTAGCCTGCTAATTCCAGAATTATGCAACCCAGGCTCCAGATGTCAACTTTCCTTCCTGTTAAAACAGAAATTGGTGCATTCTGCGTGTCTACAAAACGCTTCAGCATTTCTGGTGACATATAGCGAACAGTTCCGCAAAGACGAGTAATATCTTGCGAGCACGTAACATCGCGCTGCATTTTGACGATTTCATCCAGGTCACCGATCACTAATCGAATGTTACCGTTCTCCATTTGTCTAACAAGGATATTCTTAGGCTTCAGATCGGCATGGATGATCTTTTCCTTGTGCAGAAATTGTAATCCTTTCGTAATTTGCATGGCGTATCGGATAGCTTCGGCTTCATCGAGCAGCAACCCTTCGGACCGCAGTTTCCCAAACCAACGTTCCATATCTGTTCCTGAAAAAAATACACGATGTGTCAACTTAAGACACAGGCCGGCTAAAGCATCGTGGAAAAAAAGGTCTGCTACAGATGCAGTTGGTAGAACTTACCAGGATAATAATCCATCATAAGTTCAATGGATGCGCCCCCAAGTGATCCGGTAATCTTAATTTTGTGGTACGCCACCAGGTGGTCGTGGGATAAATCTATCAACCCTTTCAAGCTGTTGCGCAGCTTCATCCAGTTCTCTGGTTTGGCCAAGATTTCCGAACCCTGATCCAGATGAACGACTTTAACGGCCGCGATGTTTTCATTCGTGAAACCTCCTCCTTCAGTAATCTTGGCTTTGTACACAGTACCGTAGCCTCCTTTTGCAATGCAGTCTTCCGGTCTGTAGCAATAATCACAGCATCGTCCAAACGCTTCATTTCGAATGCACACAGCAGCCATTCACGAGAAAAGGAGTTAGTTCAGCATGTTAGCAAATTAATCTGAAGTATCAAGCTTCCTTGAAGACGGCGCATTGGATTTTTGCCGCTGCTTGATCTACTCGGGTAGACATTGTACAGCACAGATATTACACTTAATAATATTGTGTACATAATTATAATTGTGAACAAAAAATTGCAAATAACTTAACAACCGTCCATCAAAATAAAGCTCAGGTAAATGACATGTACCTCACGTTTATCATGGCGACTATGGTACAGATATATGTAGAGTTCTGACCGATAAGGAAGGAAAAGGCTACCTTTGCAACTGCGAAATCGTTGTGGGACACCACTGGAGGCAATGAACTAGCTGTATTCATGTACTTATCGGAAGTATTGCGGTTTCTCCTTCACATCGATTTATGGCATGAGTGGCCTATAACAGTTCTCAGCAGTTTCATAGCATTTGCAGTACGACCGGTACGTATCCAACATTTACGGTACGTTGCGATTGTCTCCGTGGCATCCACAAATCAACTCTTGCACGGTAATGGCTCATTTTTTAGTGCATCGTACTGTAGTAGTAAAATATTATGAAAAATCGTATACCCCGTAGTGACTGTACTGTCTGTACAGACTATGCCTGTGGTCTGCGGATATTGTATTGTCGCGTTATTGCAGTTGACTGGTATTATTGTCACAAGTGCTTTTGTCTCCATTCTTCACGAAATCCCTTCTAATCGGGGGAATACACGAGAGAACAATAAGAGTAAGTAACTGTGAAATTGTGAATAGTGTTACACTATCACAATTTCACAATTAAAAATATTGGTTTTATTGACCAGTGCGAAGGCAGTAATTGTAAGATGAATATAGGTAGTGCGTATAATTTATTTACGTATTACCCTTGTCTCAGTAATAATTATGTATCCTTATAATTCTCGGTAGCGGCATACCTACTGTATAAGCGTTTTTGGTATTTTCGGCAACCGGCAGTAATAATATCGATCAGCGTTTGCGACTATTCCAATACACAAACTCTGTTGGTGCCACTTTATCGAGCGGCTACAGCAACGTCACAACGTAGTCTCCGGAATGCAGCTGAAAAATGGCTGATTAATGAGCTTCCATAATTTAATTTATTGTTTTATGCAGCGGGACAGATGCATCAGACTATTCTGGGCACCTGACACAATTGTTAGCACAATTTAACACCGCAAAAAAAGTAGCCCCAAGTGCCGTAATTATGAATTATCAGTCAAAACAAAACGAAAATGTAAAAAGGATAGCTCCTTCCGCTTTGATTCCGGTACAGCTACCTGCAAAGAGATGCTATCCTATCGGTAAGGAAAGGAAAGCAGGAAGCTCTAACAAGGTTAATACTACGCAACTTTTATGACACAAATATGAATACAGGTTTTTCTGGAACTGGTGCACAAATCATAGACATCGGTTGTATGACATGGGCCGATCGGCACCGAAAAACCGGCAATTCTGAAAAGAACATAAACGTCAGAAATGCTGCTTGATAAATCAAATGCCGTCAGCTTGAATTATGTTAAAGCTAAATTTATGCCAACAGTGCTGCGGATACGCACAATACGGGCAGCCGGGCAACAGTACCTGGAGTTGCAGCACTGTACTCTAGGTCCCCGCTGATAAAGCACCATAATGGCGGGCAAGCATGGCCAGCTGCAAATTACCCAGGGTCGCGTCACCCAAATCTCTGGCGTTCCAGTCCACAAACTGCTGGCGACTAACATGTGGTCCGTAGCTGAGAAATACAACAGGGCCACATTTTTTATGATTAGCGCACGAGTATTGGTACTGCGAAAAAACTATTTCTTTATTTGGCAGTGCAAATTTCGATAAACCACACGTACAAACAAAGTAGCTGCCGCAGTTCAGTCCACGGTAACCCAGGAAACGGCACCTTTCGTACCCACTTGGCGTGCAGGTTTTCCCACCAGATTTTGACTGCGGGCTTGACAGGCGGACAGAGGGCTTCCAGTGTCATTTTAAAATCTTGCAGGCACCGCAATTTTTCGGCTTTGCTGTGGATGTTTGTTAAGATCATCGAGGGAATGGGGATCATCAAACAGAAAGATTCTTTTGTTTGCGTGAATCCGGGCATCGGATGCCGGAAATGCGGACCGCTATACTGTGCAAAGTCTACCGTGTAGTTCCTGATGACCACTCGTCGGCATACTTCGGTGAATTGCAGCGCATAAAATATCATTCCACTTAAGTTGGGATCATCAGGATTGTCGCTGTCTCGAGGAAACCGGCGAGCAGCGGGGACGCGTATATCCTTAAGGACGATTAAAGGGAGCGTTCCTTTCATGCGAAGCACTTGTGTGACAACGGCTGCCGTGGGATAGTGATCTTGATCAGCGCAGCGATGGAAAAGGTTGCTTATGGCCAGTGCGTGGGTGGCTGGATGAACGCATCGGTGCACGAGTTGCCCTATGTGGTAACCCTCCGTTTCGTTGCACCATGTCCATTGACGGGTGAGACTCGCAAAGTCGATATGTATGCACTTGGCGGTTGACGGATCGGGTAACAGTAAATTCCATAGCGCACACACTCTACGGTTGCGAAAGACATGAAATCTACGCGTATTTAACCAAAAATTGTTTTTCTTACACGAGTCAGATTGGTTACGGTACGAAACTTCTCGCCGCTTACATGCTTCTCAAAAGTAATTCCATTTACCCTTGACTTCGTGCGGCACAGATTTGGTTCAACATAAAGCTCAAATATGAATTAGTTAGCGAGAGTTTATTTCCATTTTGCCATGATTTATTATAAATGGCATTAAGAAATACAATTTAGATGAAAATTGCAGTAAAATCGACCGGAGCGCAGCGAAAGTCCACTAATCGAACTGAAATTGAAAAAGTATGAAATTGCAATTTCATACAAGTAACTTCTCATTATTATAGACGGAAGCGCCCATCTGTGAGTATAGACCCTGCGTACTCAGTAAAATCGCGGCAACCTTAGTCTTCGTATGTGGGGTAAAAATTGGATCGTAACAGACATCTTCGGCCTTAATGCAAGGGCTGCGCTCCTGTCTACCAATGCACAAATCCGCTCACTTTCCTAGTGTATCATAATCATTGGAATACAGTTGTTCGTTGGAGAATTTACCTTTTGGCGATCACTTGAGAGCGGAGGTCCAAAGAATGCAGCGCTTCTGACAGGAGTTCCGGAGGCAGGGTTTCAAAAACTCGATCGTTTGCTGTATAGAAACGGCAAAGAATTTATGCTTTTTATAACTGCCTAAGCATGTTTATAATACAGATACATTGAACCTAATACCTAAAAATTTGGTTTCTATTCAACTTCATTCATGCGCAGTTTTCCAAAAGTTCTTCGCAAATTCGTAACCATAACGTATTACTTTACCAAAACAAAAAAGCATTTCTTACCGTAGCTCAAACCAACCAGCGCACGCCGTTTTAAGATATGTATATACACTCCACAAATGCATTACGAAATACACAAAATACGGTGGAAAATCACGTTCAAGGCGTCGAAGTCGTTATGTTCAACAAGGATACGGAGGATACTTTTCGGTGTGCCAATTCTTTGTTCTTAATTCATTGGTTTATTTGTGCTTGAAGGAATTAAATATTACAGAGAACAATCTTTCATAAGAATTCACTCAAGCGCAGCTTCGCTTATAGTTATGTCTAAGTTCGGTGGACCACTTACCAGCTAAACTTTTCGAAAACTGTAAGCACAACTCCGGCTTGCCACAGTAACCAAACAAGTACTTCTCTACGCCCGCAGTAATCCTTTTTTCCGTATTTTTGTGGAAGCAACCTCCATCTGTAGGACAATTATCAAAACCATATCCATTTTCTGTGAAATGCATGCATGCAATATTCCAGATAAGAATACGAATTGCATTCGATTCGATCTCAACAAACAAGCGATCCGGGCACAGTTCCGAATTAAATCGTCTGCCGTTGCGAAAACCCATGTCCAGCATGCGACTGATCCGGTATTCATCAATGGTGGCGTATCGCAGAGAATCCGTTGGTATAACAATTTTCTTAACGTAATCCATAACGTAATATCTGTCTGGGTGGTGTGGGAAAGGGAGATAGTCGACAACCTGCCAGTGATGTACAACATGAATGGCCTCCTTATCGTCAGAATTTATGGCAATGCAAGTGAGGTACAAGTTCTCCGTGCCACAATTTTGTACAAGTTTTCCCGGACGAAAAACATACGGCTCGCTGTTCATTTTGCGCACTGCTACGAACACGTCCATTGGACCGTATCTAACATTATTGTGGAATCTGCAAAAGTGAGAGCGAAACCATACCCGATCGGCGGGTACCCACCATGGCGCGATGGTATTGCAGTCGAAATCAACAAACACCATATCACGATCGCGATCGACATCTTGAATGAATCCCAGAAAGTATTCCTTGCCAAGCAAATTTACCAGGACCACATTGCCCAGATTGAAACGGCCAGGACGTTGACCGCGCGAAAAGTACGTGCTTACATCCGTCATTAAGAAAATTTTTACACGAAGTTCAGTGCTTCGTATACCTAGTTATCCCCAAGGGTTTTGGAACGTTGAAAAAACTAGATATCAAAAAGCAGAAAATAAGGTGTGACTGGGAGTCTGCATGCTTTTAATAACTTTGCACAGAGTGACTTTTAATAACTTAGCACGTTGTGCAGAACTTTTTCTGTATTGTCTGTGCCACAGACAATACAGAAAAAGTTCTGCACAACGCAAAGAACTGATGCAGTTTAAGAGACATGTTGTTAAGTGATTGTGCTGCAAAATTTTAAATGGACCATCATCCGGGTACAGAACTTGACTAGATATATTGGTCCTGTTTCGGTGCTGTACAGTATATTCGATCGATGAACGGCGCCTCTGCACTTGCTGCTGGTTTCTGTATCGATCGACCGGTACATGTGGGCGATCGATCGACCGGTGCATGTGTGTAAAAGTGACAGTCTGTGTGTGTACCAGTACTATCTATCTGTATATTGTTGCACAATACCTTTAAGGAAATTTCTTCCGAAAATTTAAAGAAATTTCAGAAAAGTTGGACTGAACGTGATGTGGATCGAATAACAGGAGTTCACAGTTTCGACTGCAAGCCAGGGAAGATGGGGAGGCGCAAGGAACTTAGAAATGACAGCACTGATGGCGGCAACCAGAAAAAATCCGTGACATCGTTGCAGGCGTTACCGGCAGCAAGTTCAGGCCTGTTTTCTTCCAGCAGCAAAGGCAGATGGCCCAGAGTCCAGACACATGGAAATGCATACTTCTACTAAAACGAAGGGAAAACTGAAATTTGCGGGGTATTCTTGCCAAAGCGAACCGCCTGGGCTGTCAACCAGCGGCAACAAGCCTCCGGGCGGAATGATTTTTGTTCCCGTACGAGATGTTAATGCGGCTGTTTTGGACGCTACCTGCTGGGGCACGGAAGCAACATTTGTATTACCGAGCCGAAGCGGATGACTTATCGCGGTGCTGGTCGCTGTCTCACTGGAGATAAGTTCGTGCATCTGGCATTGTATCTTTGTACGAATTGGGGAGGACGAGATAGTTTTCCTTATTGCACGTGGAGGTTGTTTTCCCCCTTTGAGACCAAACTAATATTTGTCTGCTTTGCCAATGGTCCAGTGGCAGCCATACCCGCTTAACAATAAGATTATGATGGCAAGGTTTGGATCCCCCGTTTTTTCAGAGTTTCTATGTGAGCTTAAGTTAGCCCGGGCAACACCATTATAAATTAAACAGCAATACACCAGAAGACGAATAAAGCGCACAGTAAAACAGTACTTGTGATATGTTCGATCTTACGGAAGGATTGCGCATTACCGTCGGAGCCAGTACAAATTAGCAAATCAGAAGCAGTCGTTCAGGACTGTTAGAAAGTAGTGTGGCCTACCCCGGTAGTTAAGCAATTAATTATCACCTTAAATTAAGCTTCCACCGGTACCAAAACGATGTTTGAAACAAAACATAGGTTACAGGTGCGAATTGCATGGTGCTAGAAATAACCGAATCTGTAATGCGGCCGCTGTCTTGGGTACATTAAATGCACGATTGAAAGTTGGAAATGACTGTAATGATTTTGGTTGTTTCTTCAATGTGTAAATTCGGAATCTTTAATTAGTATCTACCAGCGCAGGCTTGCTGTTCTGTTAATAGGCTATTGCCCGAATAAAAGATATGTACCGAATCTACTCCATCTGAATACATCAGCGCGCTATCAGTTTCTTTCGCGCGCTATCAATTTCAGTTGCGCCCTATGCAGTGTGGCTTATTGTACATCGTTTTACAAATCGAATTAAGTACTGTAAAAAGGTGGTAAAAGTGTCATTTACCCACCTAGTTCCAAAAATTCACTTCGGGGACAATACGACTTTTCAAATACAGCAGGATCCCAGTATTCCCTTGAAGGCAGAAAATAAGTTACATTGCAATGAGTGCACCACTTTCAAAGAGAAACTAGCGGAGAAAATAAACTAATTTTTGAAAGAAACACTGGCATGTCTTTTACTTCCGTCGTTAATGATAATACATGGAGTCCATTTGAGCGCTAGCCACCATTACTTCCGTCTTGAGGAGACTCTGTCCTGCTGTGCCAGAATATGAAAACGCTTTAAAACGTTAGTACAGAATAGGCTGGCTGCAGAGTTAGCTGTTTTTGTTTTCACGCTCGGAATGGCGGATATAATGTCGGGCAAGCATTGTCAGGCTTAAGTTGCGGAGAGGCAGCCGATCGAACTCCCTTAAATCCAAATTGTACCAGAAGGTTGAATACAGCTGGTATTCCTCTTGGTTCGTAGCTTCACATGGGCCATAACTGCAACAAAATATCGTTTCTCATTAACTCAATTCAGATTGATCATTAAGAGGATTGCGCTACATCTTGTATGTCGTACAAGTAAGACGCATCAATATATATGAAATGAGTAAAATAATCCTTTTGTACACGTACAATTCAAGAAGATGCCGCAGTGCCAACCACTTCTTTCCGGGATATCGGTGGCGTTTGACCCAACCAGCATGCAACCGCTTTATGTCCTCTCTGACTGACAGATCAACAGGTGGGCAATTCTGCACAAGTTCTCGCTTAAACTTTGGAATCCACAGCTCATCGTTTTCTAATGGCATGATCGGTATTTTAATTAAAAGTTTATTCGGTTCCTTTCGCTTGATGTAGTTCGGCATTCGGGGGCCAAAATACGGATCTGTCCATATAGAGAAATCGACAATAAAATCACACACTATCAAGCGGCGACACAGGTTTTTCAATGGCACCAGTTGAAAGTAGTTTGCTGCGACATTTGGGTTGTTGTACCAAAACAGGTTGCCGTCTACTTTGCTTTCTACACCGGCGCGACAGCTCTTAACGATAAGCGTCAAGACCGGACGTTTCAAACGCAGGAATTCGGCAACGAGCGAAACGACGTGATTCACCGTGTCAGCCCGATGCGCCATGTTTACCAGTGCCAGTATGCGCGTCTTGGTGCTGATAAGGCGATGGAGTAGCCGTCCGATATGGTAGCCTTCTGTTTCTTGACGTTGTTGTGCTCGCTGGTTGGTAAGCGTGCAGAAGTCAATGGTCAAGGACGAATGGGATGCCGGGTCTCCAAGTAATGCGTTCCACACTGCACACACTCTGTGAAACAGCAAAATGTTAATAACTGTATTTATTATTTACTTCTACTCACTTGCATACACCACTACACACTAAACACAATATGTTTCCTTGCCTATTAAGTTTTCCTGGAGTAACGTCCAAATCACGAAGACACATCGATAAAATTTCGAGTGGAAGGTCTCCAAGCATCATTTCAGTCTCTTCTCCAACATTCCATTTGATCTGGCTGTGCACGTTAGCTAAAGGCAAACAGTCATTGTTTTTGCAAGTAGACACATTTTTGTCAACTTTCTAGATCCTAAGGTGACGTATGGTTCCGTTGAAAGCTGAATACGGACATATGATGGAGTGAGTCAGCTACAGATACGTAAGGATGCGGTGCCAAAAACAAAAGCTTTTTTTGTAAAACCAGCGCAAAATTTCCTGTAGCTAAAATATTTATTTAGATTAGCTGTAGTCTGTACATACATAGCATAAGGCTCAATAATATAAATATGAAGATCAGTTATTACAGTTCCAAATCCCGTGTCTTGGCATTTGTTATTTTACACTAAAAGTAAGAATCATTTATTCAAGGAAATTTTTTAAGCTAGGTTAACCTGTAACAAGTTCAGGCATCTGGTTCTGGCATTGTGGCTTACTCAAACACTTGAGTAAATATTTTTCGATCCCCATACGAACTTTCTTCGTGGTTTCCGTTAGCCAGCAGCTGATGGCCCCGCACTCGTTTTTATATCTGTGCAAACATTTTATGTACATAATAAGGAACATGATTTCTCCTTCTGTGATGCGAACAAACACTCGATCCCGAGTGCCGTCTTCGTAGTGATAATAACAGTTGCGGAATCCAACATCCAGCGTGTGGATAATGTGAGACTCTTCAATGCCAGCACCAAGAGTCAACTTTTTCGAGCGGTATACTATTTTTTTGATTGGTAGCAGGCAAATTCTGTAAAAATTTCGATCATGGGGCAAATGCTCGACAACCTGCCAGGAATGCACTACTTCGAAGTCCTTAATTTCGCTGGGCGATAGGTGCAGGTTGAAGGAAACACAGCACAGGAACTGACTCGCGTAGCTGCAACTGCGCAAGAGTAGAGCAGGCTGAAAAACGTATGGTCCGGCATCTTGCTGGCGAACGGCTACATGAACGTCCACGGGATCGTCTACCACCTGAATAGTCCTGCGTTCGTGACGCCAAACACGGTGGATGGAGACCCATTGTGGTTGGATAAGCTGACAATCGAAATCGATAAAGACCTGATCCCCATTAATATCTTGCAAAAATCCCAGATAAAACTCCGTATCGCTGTGGAAGTTGACCAACACTTCATTGCCCAAATTGATACATCCGCTGCGATGGGCCCGGGTGAAGTACGATTTAATAGCCGACATGTAAAAAAATTGGAAGGCTTAAAAACAATCCTTTTTGCTCTTACCTCGCTGTAAAACGTAAATTACCAACACTGAGCACGATTTAGCAACTCAAAAAAGTAGTATAGGCAATTATCAAAATTTTCACAACAAAGGCTCTTTGCCAAGCGGCAGTGGGATGCTTATTTAAAAGCTGCAATGCTGCAGATCGTAAACATGGAGCTACGACTGTTTGCAGATTAGTGCCGTTGTGATATCATCGACCAGTTTGCCACTACACAAGTTGCCGAGCTGTTGACGACATATGCACCGTAAATATCGCGGCTGTACCCGCTCGATGAATAAGTTGCTGATCGATGCACGCACGTGCCGGTGATAAATTGCAGCGCTTTTTCCGTAAATACATCATGATTCTATGGTGCAGCTTCACTATAGAGCAAATACAGTACTTCTTGTGCTTTTGGATGGGCAGATTTAATGAAGCTGCAATCACAATGTACAGCCTGCACTGCTTTTAATAGAACCTATTTCTACAGTAACAAAACACTCAAAGTCGGCTAATGGTAAGAAATGACTCAAACTTTGAGCTTTATACACAGATATGTAGTGGTATGAAGCTAAACATAATGCAGCTTGCTGCAAACTATACTTTATGCCTTGTAATTGTATCGAACACTGTCCAATGAAACACCCGTGTGAATTGAGCAGCCCAGCATGCCGTTCAGCTTCCGTGTGGCTCGGTGGCCACATCAAGCTATCACCATATTATCAGTACGAGTAAAAACATAAGATTTTTTCGCGAAACAACGCTGATTACCCATTACAATTACAACTAAACTTGGGGCATTAAATGCATGAATAACATAATAAGTTCGTTATTTTTTACTTAATAGTGCGGTATTACTGTAGTACATATCACATTAATTTTGTAATAACTAAGAAGTACTGGAAAAAGCGGCAGCGTAGAATTGACTTAATTTAATTTAATTTGAGTCAGTGCAGGTAGCCCATATCCGGCTAGGATGACATCTAGCCTTGAAGTAATGCAATACATAAAAGACTGCAGGACGCATATCCTAGGCCTGCATCGTTAAGCCGGTCAATAAAGAAATACGCCTGAAAGAAGTTACACAACACATTTCATTCGAACTATTTTACGCCAAAGACTGCTTCTTAGATGCTAATAGACAGGCTCAAAGCTATCGCTAAAAAGCAGTTACAGTTCTTCTGCCCGGTCAGCGATGGTATTCACTATTCTCCTCATACTGAAAGCCGCAAATTTTCATATGTATTTTAGACAGATAGTCATAGAAATTAACAGTCGTAAGCTACTGAACAGGAGGGCGGATACGAATGGTCAAAAAAATGGGTCGATTTTGCAACACGCTTTTCGATTGATACCTGACCTAGTCAACAGGCGTTGCGCGACGGGTTGAATGGATGCCATCACTGAAGAAATAGCTGAAAATTATTCCATCATCGTGCATTCTAATGCTAAACCAATAACTTTATCTTTTCGATTCGTGTCCAAAGATTCTGGCGCTACCGCGTGTGTTATTTCTTTTATAGAATAACTGTATAGAATAACCAAAATGTCTCTAAGGGCGTATTTCGTTCGTCAACGCCACATCAATCACTTCAACATGGGCAACACGGTATTGGTCAGCGCCATCGACAACGACGACTTTTATCTGGGATTCCTGCAGGATATTAAGAGTGACTCGTGTTTTATTGATTTCTCTTCCAGTCTGATGCCGGCGCAGTGGGTGCCCATCCAGCGCGTATGGTACCATGAACAAAACTGCATTCTGCTGTCCAGTAATAGTGACCCACGCGATGTCCACGTGGCTGTGCGCCAGGAACCCGACGGACCGTACACGTTTCGCCCGGCTAAACTGCTGCGCAGCTACAAGATGCAGAGCCAGTACCTGTGTTGCGTCAACGTGCGTTCTCATACGGGTCATCCATCGCCGGGGAACGAGAAACCCGATTTCGAATTTGTACATGCCTGGCAGCTAATTCATCGCCTGCCAAATGATCGTCCTGTGGATAGAATTTGCCGGTTGCCCTTTAAAAAAGTGGTGTATCGTTCGAGCAGCGTGACTTCAGCGCTAAGCGAAATTCAAGAGTGGAATACTGCTTGTATGGTGCAGTCTATATTCCGCGAAGGCTATCTACCGTTTGTCGGGAACCGAGACCGGCTGTTCGTACGAATCCGTGAAGGGGAAATCATGTTTTTAATTATGCACATACCTTGCCGGCATGTAAACTCCTTGCGCTGTTCATCTCAAAACTGCTGGAGAGAACGAACTACTAGGAAGATAAGACGGGGCATCGAACAATATATACTAAAATATTGCTTCCGTCCACAGTTGCACCAAGTTTCTTGCCCGGATTTCGTTATCGGTACTGTTGTACCCACCGCTGTTCGTGTTTGTCGTTTCGAAAAAAACATGTTTAAAATGTGCCAAGTCTTAGGTGTTCAATTTATTGCAGAGAACGACTTGGTTTTTGGTGGGATGCTGCAGGAAATTTTTGCCATGATTCAGTCATATTTGGACGTAATTACGCAAGGAAAAAATAAACGGTAAACTTATAATTATAACAGTTTCTGTGGATATATAATGTAGCGTTAGATGATGATAGTCTAGAACGCTGTAATTTACTGCAGAGTGTGCGCATTGTGGAGCGCTGTTCTAAATGATCCGGCCAGAGCGCGTTATGCTACCATCGATTTCACCACCCTCAGTCCGCAGTTGCCTCAGCGCTCCGAAACTGAAGGCCACCGCCTCGGACTGCTGCTTAATCGCATCGTGAGCAAACACACCAGAACGCTAGCACTAGTGAACATGCAACACCGCGCGGACGACTTGAAATACGCTGCCTGGACAGTGGCCGAAATGCTGCGTTTAAAGCCGGCAATCCCGTTCATCATCGTTAAGAATGCCCGGGCCGCATTCGAGAGGGTATTAGGGGTGGTTGTGTACTTCCAGCTGCTGTCATTGAAAGCTGTATGTCAGCGGTTGTTAGTGAGCAATTTCACCGTTTGTCCCTATCTCCTTCCACTACCGAGGTTTTCTCCAGAAATGCCAAAGTATTGCAACAAGCAGGCCAGTCCGCTTAAGCTGATCATTACAATTCCCATGATGAAGTTTTGCAAGAGTGAAGCGGATATCCTCTGCACGAAAAAGTATAAAGCCGAATTAAATCGCCACTGTCCGCCGGTCAGTTCGGCTATCGTCGACAAACTGAAACGTCGGCATGCGCACTGGTTGGGAACTCGGAATTATTACGGGAAGGACTGGGCTGCTTTACGACAGTTTCTGGAATTGCAAGTGTGTTACCCACTGTTTTGGATGCCAACGTAAATATTATAACAGCGATTTTGGATTGCAGCTACGGAACCTGCCAGGCAGCCGATACCGTGCGATACTGGCGTGACTTGGATTTGAAAAATTTTAACAATATCTCTCGCTGTAAATTGAGTATGACTATGCTAGCCTATAATTATATACATTCTTCCAATTTTTAGCCAGCTTTTTACTCGTCTGATCTGCAAATGATAACTGTGACGTTCCTGACGTGCGAAATCATAAAAGTGCTTAGTTTACTTATTGCTTGACCTTTAACAAAAACACATAGTGCCGCACCCGTGTCATAACGCTTGAAAACATGCCATAATAAATTTTTGCGTTATTGTACAAAGCGAACATACTGTACTTCGACGTTTTTCGCATTCCGGGCATTCTTACAATATGGATTCGCGTACCGAACATCTAAATTTCAGAGGGGGGTATTATTTTTCGAACACAAGAGCACGTTTTTCTCTATTGAAACTAAACGCCTTATACATACCGTAGTTAGTTGGTACCGTAACCGGGTACTTTTGTACATGACTGCATGCAATTACAAGTTTGTCCCGTAATTTCCATCGTAAAGGTACAGCTAGCGCGAAATTTGCGCTTGAAACATGGCCACGTCACTACGCTTATCTGATTGCCTAAATCCGCTCCGTAGTTAAATTGCCCATTACCACACCGACCGTTTCTTAGCCACCTTACGCCAGGCAGTTACTGTTATTCTCATTGATTTATATGGCGTGTACCAAGCCACCAGCCAGCCAAATGCATGTTACGTGTTTAAACAGTGTGGCGTGGCGCGCCGTAGTACGGATTTACGCGCAACACGTAAATTTGTAATGTTTGCTGTTCTGATACGATGGAAATTACGGGACAAGCTTGTACATACACTACACAACGTGCATGCAGCATCCCGGAACATGGGCCCGTGCTCAAGTTCGGACTTGGACTCGGACTCGGCCTACTAAAACTTGGACTCGGACCACACTTGGACTTCTTAACTCGGACTTCTAAACTTGGACTTGGACTTTTCTTAGGTTTCTTAAGTATCTCAGGGTTCTTAGGTTTCTTAGGTATCTCAGGGTTATATGGTTTCTTAGGTTTCTTAGGTTTTTTAGGTTTTTTAGTTTTCTTAGGTTTCTTCGGTTTTTCAGTTTTTTTGGTTACTCAGGTTACTTAGGTTTCTTAGGTTTCATAGTTTTCTTAATTTTCCCAGGTTTCTTAGGTTTTTGGGCATCCTAGTTTTTTAAAAGGAAAGTCCAGGTTCGAAGTCTAGGTTTCCAAGTCTAAGCTAGGAAGTTCAATTTAAAAGTCCGTTGAGAAGTCCAAGTTAGGAAGTCCAAGTTATGAAGTCCAAGTTCTGTCCAAGTCCGAGTTTTAGTAGTCCAAGTCCGAGTCCAAGTCCGAGCTTGAGCGCGGGCCCGGAACATGTACGTATACAACTGCTTGTTAGTGATCACCGCCACATTTGTAATTTTTCTGTTATGCCTTCTAACAGTTAGTTTACTGCGCTCGATATTTAATAACGGCATCTTGTGCGGCAGTTTTTGGAGGTGCCCTAATTTTTCACACTTAAAGGGCACCCCCAAAAACGGCTTACTTATTACGGTGTGCTTATTACGGGGGATGTCCTTATTGCGGGGGGTGTGACAAATTCGATTATCACGGTACCTCATTCTATGAATTATGCTGGTGCATTCGGGAAACTGTAAAACTATAGATAATTACATACCTAGATAATTAGATAATTACATACCTAGTTACATAGATAATTACATACCTAGTTAGACACTTTTTATCGCAACAAACATCCTATCTTGCAAACCTGCTGAACCAGTTGCACGCCGCACTTTACCGCGTACTCCACTGTTCGCCATCGGCCCATCGCCATAAAAATGTGTTACAGACGCCGGCATACAGACTCAGTTCCCATGTCAGCACATAATACCTACAGGCAGCTTTATTGATTAGTCAGCCAAAGACAATCTAAAGGCGTTCCGTTTTTAATTTTTAACAATGCATAGGCAGTCTTATTACGGTAGGAAGTAAACAAACAGTTCCTGCCAAATGACTTGCGCCGCTGCGAATGGCTTATTACATGGACCAAAACACCCGTTTTCTATCATTCTACTATTTTTGCCTGACTGTTTTCATAGACACTGGGCGAAGTGTTCAATGAATGCTCAAGAGATGATGGAACAGTTTCGTTGTAGTATTCTTAAATACTTCTCATGTTATATAAGCCATTAACGTCTGATTCGTGTTGTCAGCTTTCCCGAAGCGGTGCGCGCTAGTTCTCTGCCAGTATAATTATAAAAGAATCCGAAGGCCCTCATGGCTCTGAGTGCGTATTTCCTCCGTCAGCGTCAGATCAATCAGTTTAACGTGGGAAACACGGTCCTGGTCAGCGCCCTCAACAACGACGACTTTTATCTTGGATTCCTGCAGAATATTAATGGCGGCTCGTTATTTATTGATTTCGATTCAGGCCAGATGCCAGCGCAGTGGGTGTCCATCAGCCGTGTATGGCATCATGAGCGAAGCAGTATTCGCCTGGTTAATGATCCACGCGATGTCTACGTGGCGATTCGCCTGGAACACGACGGACCGTACACTTTTCGGCCGGCTAAACTGCTGCGCAGCTACGGCTATGAAAGCCGATTTCTATGCTGCATCACATTTGATACTGACACTGGTCTATCGTCCACAGGGAACGAGAAACCCAACCTGCAGATTGTACACGGTTGGCAGCTAGTCCACCGTTTGCCGATTGATCGCCGCATTTATAGAATTTGCCGGTTGCCCTTTAAAAAAGTGATCTATCGTTCGAGCAGGGTCAGTTCGGCGCTGAACGGTATTCAAGAAAGGACTATTGTTAACATGCTTTATTCCGTTTTCCGTGAAGACTTTCTACCGTTGAACGAGAACTGGGACCGACTCTTCGTACGGATCAGTGAAGAAGAAATAATGTTCTTAATTATGCGGATCCAGTGTAAACATGTAAGATCCATTCCATGCGCATCTGGAAAGTGCTGGAGAAACCGAACCAATAAGATGATAACGGAGGGCGTCGAGAAGTTTCTTTTGAGATACTGCTGCGGACCGCTTTTTCACCACATTTCCTTTTCGAATTCTGCTACAAGTAAGATTTACTTTTGATCATAGCTTTAATAAACTTATTTAGTACTGAACTGCTTTCTAGTAGGATTGACCACAAAATAATAGTCATCATCACACTAAATACGGCAAATATCTAATACGGCAAAATCTTTACCAGGAACGAACTCATACAAAATTGCAAGTACAGTTTTACGAGTTGGTAACACATTTAAAGCCATTTGTGAACGACGCTCACTATTATACAGTAGAAGAACGGTTGTTGCATATTGCGAATTGGCGTTCGATGCAGTACTCCACGAAATTCTCTCCGCGATTTTTTCCTACTCAGACATCGTAACACAAGGAAAAGTAAAACGGTATGGCTTTTACAATAGATTTGCTCTTTATTACTTGTGAACCAGTACTGTAGCCGCCCGATCAGGTTAGGCCGAAATCCGAATGGTAGTGTAAGAATAGATGCACCCCTACTGCTCGCTACTCAACAGCCTCAGCGAATCTGTAACGGTACGCAGTCCACAGCAGGAACAAGTCAACGGCCGGACGAGGCAGCGGTCTAGCTTGGTCCTACGGCTGCAGTACAATTTACGACATTTAAAACATTGTCACCCATCTTTCCGTCGGACCGCCAACCCAAAAGATACAAGAAACTTCGGTGGCGGCAAAGCCGGCACAGTCTGCTTGCAGGGTAGAACCGGTTTATTCGATCTTCAGTCGGGAAACGGTTTTCGCATAATTTCCGTCGTACTGCCTCTTACCATTAAATGACGGCGATAACAGCGTTTCTGTGTGCTGCAGAGTTTGTTCGCTGTAGAGCGTTATACTACGTGATCCTGTCAAAGCGCCCTGCCTTATTATCGACTTCACCGTTCTGAGTCCGCAGCTGGCACATTGCCCAGAGACAGAAGGCTACCTCCTCGGAATGCTGCTGCACCGCGTCGTCAGCAGTCATACGAAAACGCTGGCACTGGTCAGCTTGCAACACTGCGCGGACAACTTAAAATACGCAGTGTCGGCAGTGGCCGAGCTACTGCGTTTGAAGCCCATAATCCCGTTTATCATCGTTAAGAACGCCGGAGCCGGTATCGAGAGGATGCCGGTAGCGGGAATGGTCGATTTAAGCAGTCCAGACTGGGCCAAAATCCTTCCAGTTGCTGCCATTGAAAGCCGTATGTCAGCGGTTGTTCGTCGGCAGCTTCACCGTGTGTTTTTCTTACTCTTATCTGCCAAGATTTTACCCTGAGATGCCCAGATTCTGTAACAAGAAGCGCCACTCGTTTAACCTGATTATTACGATTCCGTGATGAGATTTCGCAAGGACGAATTGGATGATGTTTGCACGCAACGGTTTAAAGCCGAACTGAATCACCGCTGTCCATCGGTTAGTGCGGCTGTTCTCGACAAACTGAAACATCGGCATGCGGGTTGGTTGAGAAGTGTACCTTTACTTCCTTACTCCGGGAAGAAATGGGCAGCTCTACGACAGTTTCTTGAATTGTAAGCGCAAATCACTGTTTTTGGTAATAAGTTAAATTGCAACCTTTCTGGGTTTCAGCTATGGATTTTGTCATGCAGCCGATCCTGCCCGATACTGGCGCGACTTGGATTTGAGAAAGTTTGAAAATATCTCGCGCTGTAACTTGAGTCTGACGGTGCTTGCCTACGAGTATATTCGTTCTTTTGGCTTGTAAATTTATTTGCTACTCTGATTTTCCATAACTCGAAAATTTAACTCGTTTCATAAGCTCCACTTCGGGTACCTACAGCAAACCCATATTAACTATTTCTGGTCCTGTTGTGACGCAGTAACAACGGTATCAGAAGTCAGAACGCGCATGGTACGGTATAGTACTATAATGTGTATCGGGATTGCAAACGGGCCTATGAAAATTGGCTGTGAATACAACAAGCCTGCACTTTATAGTAATTACACGTAATTAACGAATCTACAGCAATTTGAAGTATCCAACGCAGCCATTAGCCAGCAAAAACAAAGTATACCTGTCGTTCACGCCTGGACTTTTAATATCGTCACCTGAAAATCGTCCGCAATTTATCCCGCAGTGCAGTTCTCACGATACAGTATCGTTAGGAACTGTCTGCTTTTGTTGCACAAGATTATAGTAAGGCCAGTCGCTATGTAAAATGAATTGGCAGCTCAAGTATTGCTTAATCGGGTCAACGACGCAAAATTTAAATGGTCTACGCAGTCGCTTTGATATTTTTGACCTCTGATATTCTTGCATACAGCAGCCTATTAAGCCACAGCCACATGGCAGCCTATTAAGCCACAGCAAAGCAAGTAGACAGTATGCACTTACCGGCATCAGCAATCCTCAGTACGCCAACGATATTGTGTAATACTTACTAGGAAATGAAGATCCTGCTGGGTGACATTTCTGTCGCCTTTGCAAAGGGTAAGGACCAAGCAGTACACTTTGTAATGCTTTGTTTTGAAACTCTTACGGGAGATGTAAATCGTATCCGTTTCGTTTTCGGAAATCTTTATAGACTAGCCAGTAACACAGTAACTATCGTTGGCGCAAATTTTAAAAGGCCGACCGTTTTAAGAAAGAAAGAAGTTTTAAAATACCTGTGTGATGTGTCATGCTTAGAATATTACTCATAATTTTTCACGGTTGCAATGGGTCTGATTTCATATTTTCTCCGCCAACGGACTGTCAACCAGTTTAAGGTGGGCAATACGGTTCTCGTCAGTGCAGAAAACCAGTTGGACGTTTTTCTGGGATTCTTGCAGAATGTCGCCGGTGATTCATTCTTCATCGATTTCGATAGCGAGGAGATGCCGGCGCAGTGGGTGCCCATCAGCCGCGTCTGGCGTCATGATCAGCGCAGTATTTGGTCCATAGAGACTGGTCATGACGATGTCTATGTTGCAGTGCGCCAAGCAGAAAGCGGACCGTATATCTTCCGCCCCGCCACGCTCTTGCACGGCTGCATTTATCGCAGCCAGTTCCTGGCGTTGAGTAACCTTTCGTTCCATCCCTCATGATTTCAGAATGATGAATTGGAAACTGGCTTTCCAGGTTGTGCATGCTTGGCAGATTACCCGCAGCCTCCCGAGCGCGAGCGGCGTGTGAACAGAATCTGCCGGTATCCTTTTAAAAAGATGGCGTATCGCTCGGCACTAGTAAATGCTGGGTGGCATCCAAGAGTCGAATATTGTCGATATCCTGCACCGTGTATTCCGTAAAGGCCATCTACCGTTGGATAGGAACTTGGATAAACGTTCGTTCGGAGCAACAATGGAGAAAATTATGTCCTTATTTACGCATATTCATTCTCGACATGTCACACGTTCGGCATGCTGATCGCAAAACTGCTAGCGGCAAGGATTCACTGGGAATAGAACGGTGGGCATCGAAAAGTATTTGTTACCATACTGCACCCAAGGCCCGCGCTGGGGATTTTTTTAGTAAGGGGGGGGGGGAAGTCGCCCGGGGGGCGGCGTTTCGCCTAAAACCCGCCGGGGTGGCGGCTAGAAACTGGTAGGGGCGGAAGGGGGTGCGCCATACTTTAAAATCGCCCCCCGGCGGTCAAAAGCCGAAAAATTTGTAATACGTCCGTCAATTTTGTGGCAAAATCGCATCTTTTGTGGGAATAATATATAGTTTAACGAAATACGTACGATAGAACTGCTTCTGGTTTTACGAAGTTAAAAGTGGAACACGACTTTATGGTTGCGCTTCCGCAAGCACTGTCCGCTATTTAACGGGAATTCCTACTGATTCTTACAGCTTTTTTTGCTACAGAGTAAGCTCTCAGCTGCCACAACGTTCGGAGACGGAAGGCTATCGCCTTGGAACGTTACTCAATCGAGTCGTCAACAGAAACACCAAAACGCTGGCAGTGGTCAACTTGCAACACCGCGCTGACAACTTGAAATACGCTGTGCTAGCAGTCGCCCAGCTGATGCATTTAAAGCCAATGATCCCGTTAATCGTTATTAGAAACGCTCGAGCTGGTGTAGAGAGGAACGGGTAACTCGATGGCACCATCCCGACTCGTGGGATTGGCACAAATCTGTTTCCAGTTGCTGCCACTGAAGGACGTGTGTCACGGCTGCTAGTCAGCAACTTTATCGTGTATTTTGATTAATTTTATCTGCCGTAATTTTCTGCGCAAATGCCGAGTAGCGAAAAGTCCCGCCTGTTCAATCTGATCATCAGAATTCCTTTTATGGTGTTTCGCAACGATGAATCGGATGATGCCAGTACTGTACGCATAACTGCTAGACCGAGCTAAATCGTCACTGTCCGCCGCCCAGTTCTGCTGTTTTTGACAAATTAAAGCGTCGCCATTTGCGCTGGACGCGCAGTGTAGATTACCCCGGGAAGAAGTGGAAAGGATTTCGGCATCTTCTTGAATTGTAAGAGCACTTTTTTGTGCATAGTCCTGAATATTCGATGTTATGTGTTGCAGCTATGGTGTTGCAGCGCAATAACGGACAGCTGACCCTGCCAGATTCTGGCGCGACTTGGATTTGAGAAACTTTGACAGTATACCGCTATGTAACTTAAGCCTAACAATGCTTGCCTATGATTACATTCATTCTTTCGGGATGTGAATTTGTACAGAATGTCGGGATGTACAGAATGTCGATCTGTATATGAGTATATCCATAAGGGAATCCGATAATACGGTACATCGACTTATGCGACAATGATCAACTTGAATTAGAGCCCCCAAACAGTATACTGTACTGCCGTATACGGCATACTGTACGGCACAACAGTACGTAACCGTAGTGAAATTTGGTACTGTAACGAAAGTGCCGTACGTAACCGTAAGCCAAAAACACGGTTTTACAATGGGCTTGCCGTATACGGTACTGCCGTATACGGTATACCGTACGGTCAATCCAGTTATTTCTGCCGTAACCGTACCGTAGCCGTAGGAGCCGTACGCGGAAACCGTACGTAGCCGTACAAAAATTTGTTACTGTTTGGGGGCTCTAACTTGAATTAATCCATGAACGGCTGTGTCTTTCTTAACTTTTGTATTGTTTGGCTAATACATTCATTGTGCTGAATTAAAGATGTTGGTTGAACAAAATCCCGATCCTCGAGAACGTCGCAGCACGGCACTGCTATCTGTATGTTAACACACTTCAAAATTTTTTGGACCAGCTCTGCAGTTAAGTGCCGGAAGCCATCGCTTTTTTATGGGATTACACACATAATACTTGGAATAGAAGGTGTCATACAAATGAAAAATGGACTAGGAAATGTGGAAGGTGACCGTCAAACCGGTCGCACAAGCATGTGTACATATAACATAGCTTAACCAAGCCTCTTACGTTTTAGTACCCGTAAATTTTTCCGCAAAATACATAAATCAGCTTAAATGCGAAAGCGATCAGGTGATACTGGACTCAAAATATTTAATGCATTCCAGTTTTCAGCGCAACACTCCAGGTACTTACCGGTACATACATCAGTAGAATAATTTTTTACCGCATTTACAAGCTTGTCCGGTAATTTCTGACGAATCAATACAGCGAATTACATAAATTTGCGTGTTACGCCAAACTTCACACTACGGCGCGCCACGCTACACTGTTTAAACACGTAACTTGCATTTGGCTGGCAGGTGGCTTGGTACACCCCATTTAATTTTATGAGAATAATAGTAACTGCCTGGCGGAAGGTGGCTAGAAATTGGTCGGTGCAGTAAGCGACAATCTGACTGCGGAGCGCATTTAGGAAATTTAATAAACGTAGTGAAGTGGCCAACGTTATAAGCGCAAACTTCGCGCTAGCTGTACCTTTACGTAGGAAATTACCGACAAGCTTGTACACGGCAGAACCACATGTGCCTGGAAACACAATTTTATGCAGCAGAAAAAGAGAATTAGCCTTCCAGCTAGAATTTTCAAACAATGGTTCCGTTTTGTCCCCCCAGCACAAACGTTAATATAAAATCTTTTACGCATTATTCGTTTACGTTTATTACCTCAGTGCTCAGCCTTTTTTCGATCACCGTTACTCCAAAGTTAACAGTTATGCCATAATGCAGCAGATGTGCATTCTACTGGTACTTTTTGGGCTTTACTATGCTGGGACTGTGGTGGCAAACGAGCGCCAGCGGCCTGTTAATGACAGATCGTCAGTATCGCATCAGCTGCAACAACCTCGAGTGCGTTCAAATGCAGCAAATGCTGTGAAGGCGCGAGCACCTCCACCTGCGGGAACTGTAACAGCGCAACCCACACCAGCAGCGGGAACTGCACCAGGTCCGCCACCTGCCCCCGCTACCAAAGCGCCACCTGCCCCAGCTACCACTACAAAAAGTTCATGTAGATGCAAGTTCTCAACGTGCTACGCGCCGGAATGCGATGTTACGTATTCCTGCGATATTGACTGTTCGGCGCAAGACATTTCGGACGGACTGAGAGCGGCGTGCGCTAGCCAAATATGCGGTAGAATTAATGGTCATCCTACTACCACCGCTGCGCCTACCACCACCTCAACAGCTGTCTACCTCCCTATTCCAGGTTGCAGCCCGAGCTGCAGAATTTCCTGCATCCAGTGCACTCTTTCATATTGTTGTGCAAGTCCACAAGCTGGTTGCCTAGCGGAACCGTATCTGACAGCTATCATAGCTCCATCAGCTTGTGGAAAGTGCGATAAATATACTATTAACTACAATTGCTACGGGTAGAGAGCGGCTCAGAATGGCGCTCTGGGTAGACGGGTTGCTCTAATGTGCTAGCCCGGAATTTTCCACTTATTGTTGATATAAAACTCTACGGTCTCTACCTGGTCGCATTTGTGCTTATACGCGGATACACAAGTACGGGATTAGTGCGTATTTTATCACAGGCTGTAAAAAATGCTGTTAACAGTACTGTACACATAGAGTCATAGACGTACGACTCGCAATCTGCTGTAGCCAATGCCCAATGGCAGTCGTAAACTTCTTTGTAATTCACTTGCAGTTTGGGGTTTTTTTTTACAGTACCTACGCATTATATCTATATCTGCATGTTGCACCTATATGATCCCATACTTGCACAGTGGAGTATCGTATCCTGTCAAATACTAAGAACTGTAAGTTTGCAAAACTTACATCGGATCGCCACTTCGGCTTCTTGTTACAGAATATTTTCGAAAAAAAACTACGTAGTACGACCCATGCTACGAGTATACGCGTACAGACTGTGCAGCTGCCATAATACGGTAAGAAGGAAAAACCCGTGCGCAGGGCTAATCGTTACGACAGGACATTGTGGTAGATAATTTTTATATCTGTTAGCTGGAAAAGATACGACTACAACTTACAAGCATTTCGTACAACTATGTCAAGAAACAAACTGAGAGCGAAAGCACTGATAAACGATCGAGCATACTCGTATATGTACATAAAAAAATCCAGATTGCAACAAATGTACAGCATATCACGTGTGTGACCACAGACAGTCTCCGTAAAAGCCGGCACATCCCCAGAAAACCGACATAGCGCTAACAACAGCAAACAAACCCCAGCCGCAATATAAACAACCTTCAACATCCCCCTGTCCGTTGATAGCCATTCCAGCACAGAACATACACAAGCTCAGCAAAATGTACAGAATGAAGATCAGCCAGCGGCTAAAAATACCCGGCGCTCTTTACACAGCGTAGTCAGGCGAGAGGAATTTCGGCTAACTGCGCTGACGATGGAAACGTGCATTTCCGGCCGGGTGGCTGCTGACAGCTGTGCTACTGCAGGCGATGTGCTGGTGCGGGGAGATGCTGGCGTCCTTGGTCGGGGCCACAGCGAAGCGGCGGATGAATTTACGCAGACGACGCAGCAGCCGGCGACCCGTTGTGTCGCGAACGTGGGCGGTAGTGTGCGTGAGGGCGGGGTTGGAGCCGGCGGAAATGGACGAGCCGCTGCTGCTGCAAGTGTCCGGATCGGAGAGCGGATGGTCTGTGGCGTTGTCGTCCGATTCGTCATCCACTTCGGGAATAACCTAATCCCAGCAAAAAAATCAAAACAATAACTATCATAAAGAAATAAAACGACAAAATTATTGAAAAATTATTCAAATTCTCCCTTCTATATGACTATCATAAAGGATATAAAAACTATTATAAAGCAATAAAACTATCCGAACGAAAACTATCATAAAGAAACGAAAACGACAAAATTATTCAGAAATTATTAAAAATTCCCTGGCAAAAAACAGCCGCACAGTATACAAAATATTATAAGGCGCAATTTTTAGGTTGCTTAATTTGACCTGTAAATACGCTCTTTCACTCGTAATTTTTATTAAAAGTCTTTACGTATACTTGTGCATTTTATATAGACGTGGGTTTTCTTTCAGGACCATAGCCGGTTCGTTAAAGTTAATTTACCTCAACTCTGTAATTTTATTATCTAAATACCTGTTTTCTATTTTAACTTTTACTTTCAATCAAAAAAAGGGAAACGGCAATCGGAATACAGCTGCATCAGATTATTACTGCAGTTAAATCCAAGAAACTTAAAAAAAAACTTGTTATTGTAGTAGCTGTTACGTTCGCAAAAAAGTATTGAATTATACAGCGACAAAATTATAATGTGAATATTTAATACTGGTGTACAGTACATAAAGTACAGTACTCGTACTAAAAATGGAAAACCGCACTAGCCACCGCTCTACGAAATCAATCACAGATACAAGCAACGCGCGGCATAAAATCTGAAACTACGACAGTTGTTAATAAATAAGAAACAAGGGAAAAACTGATGATAAACAAAAAATTGCTGATAAAAGCATACTGATAAAATACTGATGATAAAAACATTAAAATACGGTGCCGGTTGCCGTAAACAACCTTTTTCGTCGCCGCCACCAAATTGCGCACGACGTTGTGCATTATCCATTTAGATAAAGATAAACTGAATAATTGTTTAAGCATTTTCCATAATTCCGCTTACCGACATAACGGCGTCCAGATCGCGCAGCTTAAGGGAATCATGGGACAGCGGTCGACCGCGGCGATCTGTCTTCGACTGCGGTGCGCGGGCGGGGAGTTGCCGGTGGCACCGTCTAACGACGGGCGACGCCGGTTGGGTAATGTGGCGCAACGGACCGGAAGGGGGTTGGGATCGGATTTGGTGCGTTTGCGGCGGGCATCCGATTTACTGTGCTGCACAACTTTGACCGGTGGATGGACATTGTACAGGTTCCAGCCGGATTTCATGATCGGTGTCATGAAGGCCATCTTGTCAATAATTTACAGAAGCCTGCAATTAGGAATATCCGCTATAACATATTGTAAAATTATAGAAAATTCTTACAAATGCGAAACTTTTAACCAGGAGCAAATTAAAAGTTAACAAGCAAATAACTTGCAAGGTGAAAAAAATGTATGAACCATTTTTCTGCGTTGTATTGATTGCTGCCAACGAGTAAACTCATATCATGGTCGGTCTGACCAGCGGGCCCTTTCACTACATTTTGGTGTCAAAACTGGAACCGTACGTTCTTACAAATTTGTTAAAGTACCGGTAAAAATCTGTCAAAATTAATATCTATCCCCGCCGATTTAAAAAACATGGGTAATATTAAACAATATCACGTAAATTCCATTTTAAGCAGCACTCGTAATACATGCAAATACCGGTTATACACCACGATCGATCGATCGAAGCTGGCGCACGCATCCTTCGAAACCTATATTCTCGTCAATAAAAACTTTTACCGCTTTTATTATTTACTGTACAAATAGAAAACTCACCGAATGATTAGGGAGAAACGGAAATAGTAGTTATTTATTTCATCTCCAAATAAAATAAACCAGATAATTCATATTAAACATGCCGGTAGGTTAACAACTGTCACGGAATATTCGCATGCGAAATAATTTAGATAATTTATTTGCAGGTACGACTTTAAATTGGAAAATTAATCCAGATAACTGGGCACGCCGGTATATCGTTAACAACATTTAAATAATCGACATTATAATCAAATTTGTAAAACCGAAACAAAAAGTCACACGCTCACGTCGTCTACAAGCCGCGGATTACTCATGTACCGCGTGTGCCGGTATTCAGATTTGCACATTTTATCAAACGTTAAACACCGTGTTGACAAACACATACCTGCACACACCCGCTATTTCTCTATTATATAAGCAGCGATAGCATTGTGAGCACTCGCGACGCTTACCTGTGTTTAATCGCAGCTTTTAAGAATCCTCGTTAGTTGGCAGCCGACTGATTAAGAATATATATGCATGCGATACAAAGTTTCAATCCAGCAACTGATCAAGAATGAATTTCCCCCGCGCTCAGCACACTGCTTTCCCGTCCAAAATTAAAGAGCAGCGCTAAGTGGTGATTAGTAGGTCGAATGATGTAAAAAAGTGGTCCATGCTGTGAATGAGGATGTGCGCCGCGTGCAAAAAAATATATTATAAAGGAAAGTGTTTAGTAAAGCGCAGTGTAATCGCTTTTATCCGGCAACAGAGAGCAAATTTCAAGGAAGCGCCATGTATCAACTTGATGCAGGCTGCACAACGGTACACGAATTAATTAGCTTCCAGGAAATTAACCAATGGTCGATTACACTGCACGGAGTATATTTTCCAGGGCAGCAACTGCGGACAAAGAGCTGAATAAATTTTGACTGATCTTGCTGTCCAACTCATTTTCCCTTTTTCTATACTGCGTACAATGATATTCACTGCGTTTTCCAGAGAATAAAAAATTAAATAAATAACTTTACGTGATAAATATATTCGTGGCCAAGAAATATGAATTATTAATAACTGTTCTTATGAATATGACACAGTTTACGTGACCAAGTGAAAAAATTCAACTGTGAAAATGAGTATCGAGAACCAATTATACATTCACTATAAGTACAAAGACAGATTCTTAAAACAGCGCATCTATTTGCGTTCTCTGAGACTGGTGCTGAACTGACTGGATCGATTGACGGATGGGGAATGTTTGGTTTTATAAGAGCGTTTTTTCAGGAACAACCGCCGAGTTAAAGAATGCTATTTCCGGTGCAGCCGACTCAGCATTTGCACACCAGGGAACATAACAGCGAATCCATGACTTCCGCTACAATTCAAACTTCAAAGTAGTCAAAAATAACAGCCGATATGCTCACCGATATTAATTACAATTTACAAGTGTTTATGATTCTGCTAGTTAATTTCATGCGGTTATTATGCAAAGATAAGAAACCTGAACGAATTTTCTCTTAATTTGTAAACTGACAGTTTCTGCCAAAAAATTGGGTATATTATAAAATACTATCTATACTAACTAAGTATTGATAAAAACAACTTTTAGGTTAATTCAAATTGTTACCGGTTTAATTTTTTTCCAGTTTCTTTCATTTTTTAATTTATCATTCATGAAGGCAAAAGTAAATCCATTTGCAGAAAAATTGTTTGTGCTATTTAAACCGGCAAAGTCTCTAGCCTAATGTATAACGAAGTCCATTCGAACGTTTCCTGTGCGGCAATGACAAGTGGCTCCGCGTGAAAAAACGTTATGTAAATAGAGCAACACCAGCGCGGTATGTGTTCCGCTAGCGTCCGATGCCACTGATCCGCTCAATTTTCCCGATTAACGATGCACAACGGCTGAGAGGAAGTACGTCACACGGCGCCAACTCTCTCTCGCCGGTCTCTAACCGGCATACAGCACTCGCTCTAGCCGCTTGGTAATGAACTCGGAAACAATCGATTACGAAACGCCCTCGCGTTGTCAAGTCTCATTCACAAGTACCGTAGCAGCGCATCTAATTTCCGGATTTATTTACTTACTGTTGCCCATCCGCACGTGACGCTCCGGCAGATTCCCTCTATTTTGGAGTATGAAATCGGTTGGTTAATTGGCTATATTGTTTTAAATGGCTTCAATATACGTAACAATGCCCAATTATTTATCCTACAAAAATAATAACTGTGATAATCCAATTTCTGAGCACCGGTTTAGTTTGTTTAGTTTTTCGATCACTGAGCAGACAAATCCTTGCGGCACTCGCACATCTAGTCGTTATGTACGCTACCATCATCCTTTTAGAAATACAGACGTCTTTTTTCAGTGAAAATAATTTTAAATTAAGCCAGATGATAGTAAGAAAGAATACTGCGCTTTAGTTCGAATATTAAAACATATCCTAACTAACTTTGTCCTTGTATTTCTGCCGGCACACTCAAGTTGAGGTGTTTGTAGAACATGCGGAACCTTGTCGTATGCTGTTACATTATATATACACCTGCCTGGCCTGCAGTAATTACTGCAGTAATTATAAGTAGGTACGTTCAAGCACCTAATTCGTAACGTATCTTTATTCTTTAGGTACTTATCTGCTTATCACTTTCGATCTCAGCCTTTTTCGGCTATTCCCAGCAATTCTCATGATCAGCTTTTCTCGATATTCCCAACCGTGCCGCATTTGATGAACTGCAAAAATTAACTAGGGAAGTGCACCATTTTAGGCTACCACTAAAAGCTCCTGTTTTCTTGATCATCGAGGATGTTCGCTTCGGTCGAAGATATTTTTATTGGCATAAGCCCAGCCGCTCAGGCACGTTGGTACAGCGTCAGAAAAATCAGCAAATTATAAAACAGACACGTACACAATGACAACGGAGGGTTTTCGACTAAAAATTAAGTATGTTTAAGTAAATTAATATGATGTATCAAACTTTTTAAAGCTTTATAAATACATAATTGAACCGAGAAGACGGCTAATTACAAAATTTGGATGTTAGCAGTTGCGGGTTCCCGCAAAGCTGCCGGGTGGCACTCTTGCGCTTTCTTCAAACTGGTTTTTCTTTTGGCTGGCCAATTGTCTGGCACCTGGAGAAAAACCAGTCCGATAAAATGCCAATCCGCCATCCAGCTGCGGCGGTTGTCGTGTTGACAAGATAGTTAACCCCGAGGTTCCAGAGTGCTTCGGAATTTCTAGATGGGTTGTATCTTTGCAGACTAGAAAATCTCCTCCAATTCTCCAGAATATTACATTGGGGGGTACACTAGCCAACGGGTTTCCGTCTAATTTCCAAAATTTTACCCGTCTTAAATAAGCAAATTGTTGGAATGCCGCAAACCGAAACAAAAGTGTGCTTGCCAGTGCGCGAAAGTGACAGTTTCCGTGCATGTACACAAATTTGGTACCATGTACCGGGCCACTTCCCTTAAATGGTGACCTTAAGGTCAAAGTTTTAACATTAAAGTTGACACTTTAATTTATAGTGGCTGCAATATCGTAGTATACCGGCGTATGTATGCTGTCAGAAGCCATGTATGACCCACGTTACATGAGTTTACCGTCGCGATCGTGTTTCCGGGTATTAGTTCACTACATAGTACATATTAATTATGTGTTACAAAGTAGAAGGGAATATTTTTCTTCATACAATATTTCACATAAATTCACATAAGTGAACCTTAGGCGTGAGCGAAGGAATAAGGAAGTGGTTTGCGAAATCTGTCTAATGTATAATTTTTACAGAGCTCAGACCGAAAACTATCGGGCATGAGGGACAATAGATAGAGTATTCCACTTTATTATGAGGAAAGAAAAGCATCTTATTTCTGACTGGATAACCGTGTCGCCACTCGTTTTCAGAAGACGCATACATAGCATTAGTAAGAAAGACTAGAAGCTCGTCTTTCGATGTACGAGTACTTCTGTAGACGGTGTCTTCTTCTGGATCTGGGTCAAAGTTTACTCAGCTGCAAGTCTTGCCATGATCTTTGATAATTCAGTCCCTCTGGGCCAACAGGTAAGTTTTTATTTGCCCCGGAAAAATACGATAACAGTTCAGCAAGCGAAATAAGAAAACGGAAAAAGCAGCGATTTTGCAACGGTAATTATAAGCCAAAGTATATTCATCGTAATAGTTTGTTCCTTATTAGAGTTTGTTCCTTATTAGTTACTATAAATTGCATCTCATGGACGTAACTATTCCAACGTATCCGTTTCGCGGTATACCTTCCAGCCCGTACGATGTTAATTACGGGAATACCGTGCTGGTTAAGCGTGACAATGGTGAATGGTGGCTGGGATACGTGCAGGATATTGATAATGCTTTGATGTTCATTGATTTCGATTCGGCAGCGGCTCCAGCCCAGTGGATCCATTCACGCCATGTCCGGGCACAACGTCTTTTAAATGATCCTTTCTGGAAGTCGGTGGACGAGCAGATAGCCGCCCACGGGAGCCATCCGGTACAGGTGGGGCTGCGTCGAACCGCGACTGGACCGCATATATTCCGCCCCGCCCAGCTGCTCACCCCTACAGCATTATTGGGCGTGTACTATGTCAGACTCGAGGGTGGGTCGAGGACCGAGACTCTGGTGGTTCATCTATGGCAGACAGCCCTGTCTATTGCCGCCGCTGCGGATGCACCGCCACTCTTCCAACAAACTAACGGTCTATACTATCGCAAGTTCACTGTTCTCTTCGAAAATTCTCCGCCCGTCACGAGGCTGGATTTACCGGCAATATGGAAATGTCTAAGAGAAGCTGGAGCCAGTTCAAATACAGCGAGACGCACGACTGCTTGTAATGAATACGTTGCATACCGCATTTTTCTTCGCGCCATCGGAAATTCTCTCTTTTTTATCTGTGCTCAAGTCTATGCCGATTATCCTGGCTGTCGGGCGGAATGGAACGAAGAGATCTTAACAAAAGCATGTAAAAAAATCTATCCTCTTCTACCACTGTCTTCTCCATCAAAACCTAAAGATATGATGGAGATACCTCCGCTTGGATTAATTTTTGGTAGGCTTATAACTTCATAGTTTGTTAATACGCAGACGCAAAGGGATTGCACTGGCAGCGCCGCAGCAGTATGAATTGGGTCAAGGCTGTTCAATTCCGTTGACGACAAGGTGTCACGACATCCCACATCGTTCGTCACCTAGCCAGCGATTGTATGCAGAGCCGGTATATACATATGTATTTCTCATAAAATTGTTATTTAAAAATTTTCCACCTTGAATGGTGCAACTTAAACTTCACGTTGAAAGCCCCGGTTTTCTACATTGTAAGCAGATAATTCGAGCTTCGTGCGGTAAGACACGGCGGAACCACTATACAGACAGTACTGTTGCAAATTCTGGGATGCGAGGCGACTGAGCTGATGTAATGTTTACCGCATGCAAGACTAGTCTGCTTTTGTTCTAGGATTTTCATCGTGAATAACAAATATGTGCTCAGAACTCAAAGAGTAAGCATGCGCTTTGCCCTGACAATGCATGACCTTTCTCTTTCGACTGTAAATGAACTCGAAGCTATTGCGAATAAATATTTTAAAAAGTGGCTTAATTTAAATGGGTCTGCTAACTGCGATACTCTTTACATTCCGGATGGGTTGGACTTTAAATCGATAAAATCAGTTTATGTACAAGGGCATGCCACATTCATCACGGATGCACTTTCCTCGAATGATGTTGTTGTGGCGCAAGTAGCGAACGACCACCTGGGTTCGGCCTGTGGAAATGATACTGCAATCGTGAACATCGTTCAAACTTCGATAGTAGCCGGTAGGGAGCGAGGAGCAAACAAAGCAACCATCAGGAAACTTGTGAACAAGAAAGTCAAGCAGCACATTTCGACATCAAAAGAGAACAGGCTAGCGTCGTTAGTTCAGCAGGGAGCGTGGCATGAAGTAACAAAAGCACAAATAGCTGATACTTTTTGGAAATCTATCTTGTATGATCTACCTGAAAAGGTTGTAACTTTTATGGTTGAAGCGGCGCTTAATATCTCTCCTTCCTTTACTAATTTGTTTAAGTGGGGCAAAATTGTATCAGCAAAGTGCGAGTTATGCGGGGCTGACAAGGGAACTCTCGGTCATATTGTTAACTACTGCCCAGTGTCTTTAAACAGCCATCGCTATACTTGGCGCCATAACAGTGTCTTGTCAGCTGTTTTCAATTTCCTAACCGGTGTGGCTGATATTA